GAGAGAGAGAGAGAGAGAGAGAGAGAGAGAGAGAGAGAGAGAGAGCAATACAAACCCAATCCCAACTATAAGAAGCGGCCATTTTTCGGATGAAATCATAATTGCACTCATTATTATCTGTTTTGGCACATGCTAGAATAAATTCAATTAAGTAATTATAAATTAATAATGATAAATTAACATAAAATTCACTTACGGTAAACTTCATATTTGTATTTTTCTTTGTATTCCTTAGACTTTTGCATTGAATATAACGGCGCCGACTGTATGGACACACGAACCGTGTTTTGTCCCACTTTTAGCACGTGTTTTACGTCCCACTTATACCGTATAAACTGATTGTCTGTTCGGCCTATCAGTCGGTCATTTACGGTAACTTCGCTGACAGTGTCGATACCGTTGGCCAACAAATACACATATTGTTTGCTCAATAGCTTCTCGTCGACTATAATATTACAATTAATTAATTTATAATTCAAATAATTATTTTATTATATTTATAATACCATTAAATATTCGCTCAAAAGTCCAGTTGTCGTACGAAACCCACCGATACTTCAGGTCATTATTGCCGGACAGTAGGGTCTCCTTAAGGACGCCCTCCCGTCTCAGGTCTGAGTATATACTTCCCGGCACTCGGGCTTTGACCTGAATGGCTGTAATAAACATAAACATGATTATTAATATTCATGCTAGTTAGTTAAGTATATATTTTTATCAAATTACTACATTTGTTTTGATTGATTGCCAACCAATCGGTGCCATCAAGTGTTAAAAAGTCGCCGTTTGTGACACTTTTGGCCCAAAAACATACAAAACAAACAAAAATTATTTGTAATTTATTAAACATTTTTAAAAATCGTCTCATTATAAACAAATAATAATTATTAATAAAAAGTTTTCTGTTTATATATAAATTTTTAAATAATAATAATCAATAACGTTAAGTGGTTATGTGATAACATTTAGGTTAATTAGCTAATGTTGCAATAATCCTGAAATATCTAAATAATTTATTATTTAAACAATGTACTTTAAGTAATAAAGCAATTGATGTATTGACTAGGGTTGGAATAATACAAAAATTTTTCGAAGCTTTGTATTATACAATGTATAATACAAAAATCCTTGTATTATACTTGTATTTTTACTTACTATGGGGAAAAAATTAATATGTTTTAAAAACAACAATTAAACAGTTTTAATGCATTTATCTTATTAACTATACATGTTATATTGTTTTAATTAATAATTGTATCACATAGAACGGTTGATTCAATTGCTTTTTCAACTATGGGGAAAAAATTAATATGTTTTAAAAACAACAATTAAACAGTTTTAATGCATTTATCTTATTAACTATACATGTTATATTGTTTTCATTAATAATTTTATCACATAGAACGGTTGATTCAATTGCTTTTTCAAACAATTTTCAGGTGTTTTGACGTGTTTACAATATTTCACCAATAGGTGGCGCTGTACCACTTTTGACACAAAAGACAATCTTGCTTTGTATTATACAGTGTATAATACAAGGAATAATACAATTGTATAATACAAATTTTTTATATTGCCAACCCTAGTATTGACAAATTAACTATAAAACACTTATAAAATCTATTATTGATAATAAATAAGGTGATATTTAATCGTTTATTTATATTATTATTATTTGCCACTTCATCCTGGTAGAATTTTGAGTTTATATTTTTCACTTAATGTACCTATTTTAGATATTGTATTTTAGATTCAGTATTATGAGTTTTTAGTTTATCATGATTTTTCTATTGACTTTACATTATTACATTTTTATAGAAAATAATAACTTTTTAATTAAATTATAATTCTGGCTATAAATAAAATCAAATAATTAAGTATTCAATCAAATGTACACTGTGTAATTAATTTAGTATAATTTTTATATTTGTTTTATTGATCGGGGTAAATTAAGTGAAAACATATGGACAACACATTGAGAGCACAACTATTACTACAAATAATACTGCATTTGAGACAACATTTCCAGAGTTGGAGTCAAACCAAACACATCTTTGAAGTGAAATAAAGAAAACTAAATTCAATACTTGTTTAACAATTGATCAATTGATAATATCAATTTTTATTATTTTATTTGTTGTTTTAAAAGTTTATAAAATACAGGTTTTCTCTATCAATGAGAGCACGTGTTGTAAAGCATTTCCCATTTCAACCATTTTATTATACAGAAAATAGTCATTTGATTCACAGTAGGCTTTGAGTTAATTTGTGTTTCATTTCAATTTGATTTTAATTTGTGTTAAGTCTTATTGTTTGAAAATGTGTTCAAAATTAATGAGTGTTTCGTTGATTGAAATGAAGAGTAAATTAAATGCAATGAAGAGTTTGTGTGAAATAATAGACAAAATTCAGTGGATTTTGAATACAAATAATAGTGTTTTGTGTGAAGCGATTGAATGCGAAAATAATGATTATTTTTCATTCAATCAAACAATTGATTGCAATTCATGTAAAATCAGTGATAAAATGCTAAACAATTGTCATATCATTACTAAATCTGATGATTATTTGCACTGTTTTTGGCCTAAATGCCAATACAAGACAACAAGAAAACAACATTTAAATGAACATAAATTAATTCATTCAAATATAAAACAATTTAAATGTAACATTAATAATTGTAATAAAAGTTATAAACTAAATTCACAATTAAGTCAACACAAAAATAGCATTCATTTAAATGCGAGATTTATTTGTGATTTCAATGAATGCCACAAAAGTTTTACAACAAAACACACGTTAATTCGACACAAAAGTTGTGTTCATTTGAATGAAAGAAAATTCAAATGTAATGAAGAAAATTGTGGCAAAAAATTTACATCAAAACAGACTCTAATTGTTCACAAACGCAAACATTCGGGAGAAAAACCATTTGTTTGTCATTTTAAAAGTTGTAACAAAAGTTTTGCGCGAAAATATTATCTGGAAATACATAATGAAAAACATATGAATTTAAAAAGCCATAAAATTTGATACATTTAATGTATTCATAATAATTGTAATCAACGGTTTGTTACGAAACACGACTTGAGATCACATGTAAATTACAAACACAAATAAATAGTGCACTTAATTTGTCACTTTATTTTTCTAATTACTGCTAATTTTAAATATTTATTTTAATAATTTATAACAACACAAATTTAATTATAATTTGGTTTGAGTTGATTTAAACTTAAACTTAGAAGTATTGTATTAAATAATAAAATATTACAAAATAAATGAACATTTATTATTTACATAATAAATGTAATATTTAAATAAATTATTTTTCTAATTGTGATAAAAGGGTCTTTCATTCAACACAACACATGTTCACATTCAAGTGATGTACCATTTGTTTGTATTAATAACAGTAATAATTTACAAGCAATAAACAAAATAAATTAAATTATATAATAAACTTACGGAACACATAATTTCATAAATTTTATCCATTTATTAAAATTATTTAATTTACTGTTAATAATATTTATGATTGTAGAAATGTAATTTTATTTTATTATGAAAGATATTTTGTTAAATTATAAAATTAATGCTAAACAATAACATCGGTTACGGATTTAATGAGAAGATTATCTCTAATGTGTTTATCCGTAACATTAGATTCAGTGGAAAATATGACAGACTTTTTGCCGTCAAATATAAAGAATCCGTTTTCCATGAAATGACCGCTAATTCCAGTCTTCGGCCGAAAGTCCAGCGAAACAAACGGTGCGATCGTTTCGGACGATAGGCTTATACTAAACGTACGGCTGTTTGACAGATAATAATAAAGAATCCGTTTTCCATGAAATGACCGCTAATTCCAGTCTTCGGCCGAAAGTCCAGCGAAACAAACGGTGCGATCGTTTCGGACGATAGGCTTATACTAAACGTACGGCTGTTTGACAGATAATACGGGCCCACAGGGGCTGAACTCTCGGCCCCCATAACCTCCTTCACGTCCAATACTTTAATATTAGGCTTAATTGTGTGCGAGTTTTTGGGCTCCGATAAAAGTAGGAAATTGTTTGCCTATTTTTTTATCGAGAAATACAATCAAAAATTATTTTTAACATTTGATTATTATTTTTTACCACACAATTACTACACATACCTGTAATTTGCGCTCGTTGTTTGTCACCTCTACACTAAGCACCCAATGATTTTTACAGTCAGTTTTGGGACATTTGGCCACTCTATGTAATTCGGCTAAACTTATATCATATATGACTTGTGCGGAAAAACTGTCGGACGAGTGGCGAGACTTGTGCTCATAAATGGGCCGATTCTGTGACCAATCGTATACTTTGACCGACAAATCAAAGTTCAGTTTCCCGTAATAGTCGTCGCGAACTAACGATACCTTATATTAACATCAAAAGTAATAATCATCTCAATGTAAAATCATGTCATATGATTATTGAACATAATTATGTAATATTATATTTTGTATTTGGTTGTAAAGTTGTTTTAATTCATAATCTCACCTTGATAGTGTCTTTGTCCAGATATGGTGACACCAATAGGTTATGGTAGAAATGTCGGGCAAATGAGTGCAATATTTTCCATTTGCCGCCGAACTCTATGGAAGCCCAGGTCGGCGCCGGCCATATGTCGTTCAGTTGCCAATACAGGGCACCCATTGTCCCACCAAAGCCTGTCTGAGGGTCGACCTCACNTGCCGCCGAACTCTATGGAAGCCCAGGTCGGCGCCGGCCATATGTCGTTCAGTTGCCAATACAGGGCACCCATTGTCCCACCAAAGCCTGTCTGAGGGTCGACCTCACGATCGCGTCGGTAGAGCTCAACACCGGTCTTAATAGTCATCGCTTGCAATACTTGAGACAAATATATTAAGTCTGCGAACCGGTCGACGCCTCCCGGAGCCGGCAGTTTGAAGTAATTTTCTATTAGTTAACATATATTATAATAAATTATTTAAAACCAACTTAACCGTGATGATTTCAACAAATAAAATACCCTACCTGTCAGATCTTCAATAATCTCTGTACCCGTTTTGTTGAGTCCCGGGAATCCCACTCGATTCCGGTGCCGCACACCGGCGCTGGTCGGGTAAGTCATGTCCGAGTCGGGCAACGCTGACAGCCAGGTGTCCAGTGATGGGTAGGACACCTGGCCGTACTCCGAGATAAACTTACCCCGGTGCAATACAGTCCAGTCCCACTGCGGGGACGTGTAGTCATACCAATGAACGTCTCCATATCGGTTGTCGTCGGGATCTTTGGCCGTATAGTTCTCTATCGCATCCCTCAACCCGTTTGATGGACTGGAGGTCACGAATGGCCGACTCGTGTCGGCGCCGGTCACCAGTGTTTGCATGTGTTTCACAAACAACTCTCGGTAGTCATCGTTGTGTCGCTGATCGACGCCAAGGTATACGAGCATTGCTTCGATCTCATTATTACCTAGGTGGTGGTGTGTTAAGTAAGTTTACGTTAGAAATGCCTATATCAATATTTATGGTTTACTAATTAAAATAAAAATAATACTGAATTAATATTAGGCTTACACTATATCATTATAAAAATGGAACATGTTTAATATAATGATTACATTGTTCTATAGCTAAACATTGGCTATACTATGGTCTAAAATGGTATATTACTAAAATGTAACATGCTAAGACACTACATACCGGCCCAGATAGCGATGGACGGGTGGTGTTGTAAACGACGGATCTGTTGCGAGACCTCTACTTCGGCCGACGATACGAACTCCGGGTTCACGGGATAGGGAGCGCAGGCATACATCATGTCCTGCCATATCATTATTCCCAACTCATCGGCCAAACCGTAAAACACGTCCGACTCATACACCCAATGATTTTTACAGAAAAATGAGACATTCACCAGAGAGTGGGTAAAATGTTTTAACCATTTGCAAGTTTTAACCATTTTGGTTGAATGTATTTAACCAAAAATTTCATGGGTAAAAGCTAGTGATAAAAACACATTACAGTGCTGTGTGTAATTAATTTAGTATAATTTGTTGTATTGGTCGGGGTTAAATTACACACTATAATATTTCTGGTTCCCTAATAGCAAACATATGAGGTGGATAATGCAATAAAGGCGGTTATATACATAGTCTACAGTCATAAAAAGTACCAAAAGTACATATTAGTATAGCAGTGGAGTCTAAACATTGAGATGTACATAAAGTATGTGTTTAACATTCGGACTGTTTGCATACATCAATATATTTCATAACCGCCTTTATTGCATTATGCCTCTCATATGGACAACACATTGAGAGCACAACTATTACTACAAATAATACTGCATTTGAGACAACATTTCCAGAGTTGGAGTCAAACCAAACACACATTGAAATGAAATAAAGAAAACTAAATTCAATACTTGTTATCAGTTTTTATAACTTTATTCCTTGTTTTATAAGTTTATAAAATACAGGTTTTCACTATCAATGAAAGCACGTGTTGTAAAGCATTTCCCATTTCAACCATTTTATTATACAGTAAATAGTCGTTTGGTTCACATTAGGCTTTGGCTTAAATTGTGTTTCATTTCAATTTGATTTTAATTTGTGTTCAATTTTATTGTTTGAAAATGTGTTCAAAATTAATGAGTGTTTCGTTGATTGAAATGAAGAGTAAATTAAATGCAATGAAGAGTTTGTGTGAAATAATAGACAAAATTCAGTGTATTTTGAATACAAATAATAGTGTTTTGTGTGAAGCGATTGAATGCGAAAATAATGATTATTTTTCAATCAATCAAACAATTGATTGCAATTCATGTAAAATCAGTGATAAAATGCTAAACAATTGTCATATCATTACTAAATCTGATGATTATTTCCACTGTGTTTGGCCTAAATGTGAATATAAAACACAAAATAACCATCATTTTACTCGACATCAATTAATTCATTCAGAAATAAAACAATTTAAATGTGATTTTAATAATTGTAAGAAAATTTTCAAATGTAAATACAGTTTATATGGACATAAAAATACTGTTCACATAGAAATGAAAAGATTTATTTGTGATTTCAATGAATGCAATAAAAAGTTTAAATTGAAAAGCAGTTTATTTCGCCACAAAAAGAGCGAACATTTCAACTATAAAAACAAATTTCCATGTTTTTGGCCCAAATGTAATTACACGACATTTTCTAAATCAGATTTAAACCACCATGCTCAAAGACATATTAGTTCAAAACAATTAAGCTGTAATTTTAATAATTGTAATAAACTTTATCAAACTATTTCTGCATTAAATCAACACAAAAATAAGGATCATTTAAATGTGAGATTTATTTGTGATTTTAATGAATGCCACAAAAGTTTTACATCAAATGACGGTTTATTTCGACACAAAAGTTGTGTTCATTTGAAAGAAAGGAAATTCAAATGCAATGAAGAAAATTGTGGCAAAAAATTCAAATCAAAACAATATTTAATTCAACACAATAATGACATACATTTAGGAAAAAAACCATTTGTTTGTCATTTTAAAAGTTGTAACAAAACTTTTACACGAAAATATAATCTGGAAATGCATATTGAAAGACATCTGAATATAAAAAAACATAAATGTATTTATAATTACTGTAATCAACTTTTTGTTACAAAATACGAGTTGAGATCACATGTAAATTACAAACACAAATAAATAGTTACTTTATTTTTCTAACTATTACTAGTTCTAAATATTTATTTCAATAATTTATAAAAACACAAAAATTATAATTTGATTTGATTAAACAATAAGGAATATTGTATCAAAAAAATTAATAAAAATTAATTATTTACATAATACATGTTAGATTTCAATAAATTATTTCTCTAATTGTGATAAAAAGGGTCTTTCATTCAACACAATTCAAGTGATAAACTATTTGTTTGTATTAATAACAGTAACAAAAACTATATACGAAATAAATTTAATTATATAATAAACTCACGGAACACATGAATATTTATAAATTTCAACCATTTATTCAAATTATTTAATTTAATGTTAATAATACGTATAATTGTTACAAATGTAATTTTATTAAATAATTTTTATTATGAAAGATAATCTACCATGAAAGATATTTTGTTTAATAATAAAACTAATGTTAAACAATAACATCGGTTACAGATTTAATGACGAGATTATCTCTAATGTGTTTATCCGTAACATTAGATTTAGTCGAAAATATGACAGACTTTTTGCCGTCAAATATAAAGAATCCGTTTTCCATGAAATGACCGCTAATTCCAGTCTTCGGCCGAAAGTCCAGCGAAACAAACGGTGCGATCGTTTCGGACGATAGGCTTATACTAAACGTTCGGCTGTTTGACAGATAATGCGGGCCCACAGGGGCTGAACCCTCGGCCCCCTTAACCTCCTTCACGTCCAACACTTTGATATTAGGCTTAATTATGTGCGAGTTTTTGGGCTCCGATAAGAGTAGGAAATTGTTTGCCTTTTATTTATGGAGACATACATGTATAATTAAAAATGTTAAATATTTGATTAGTATCTTTTATCACATAATTACTAAACATACTTGTAATTTGCGCTCGTTGTTTGTCACCTCTACACTCAGCACCCAATCATTTTTACAGTCAGTTTTGGGACATTTGGCCACTCTATACAATTCGGCTAAACTTATATCATAAATAACTTGTGCGGAGAAACTGTCGGACGAGTGGCGAGACTTGTGCTCATAAATGGGCCGATTCTGTGACCAATCGTATACTTTGACCGACAAATCAAAGTCTAGTTTCCCGTAATAGTCGTCGCGAACTAACGATACCTATAATTAATATCAAAAGTAATAATCATTTAAATGAAACATAATTATGTATATTTGGTTGTACTGTATTTTTAATTCATAATCTGACCTTGATAGTATCTTTTTCCAAAAATGGTGACACCAGTAGGTTGTCGTAGAAATGTCGGGCAAATGAGTGCAATATTTTCCATTTGCCGCCGAACTCTATGGAAGCCCAGGTCGGCGCCGGCCATATGTCGTTCAGTTGCCAATACAGGGCACCCATTGTCCCACCAAAGCCTGTCTGAGGGTCGACCTCACGAAGTGCAATATTTTCCATTTGCCGCCGAACTCTATGGAAGCCCAGGTCGGCGCCGGCCATATGTCGTTCAGTTGCCAATACAGGGCACCCATTGTCCCACCAAAGCCTGTCTGAGGGTCGACCTCACGGTTGCGTCGGTAGAGCTCTACCTGTGATCTAATAGCCATCGCCTGATGTATTTGAGACAAGTATATCAAGTCTGAGAACCGCTCAATACCTCCCGGAGCCGGCAGTTTGAAGTATTTTGCTGTCATAGAAATTAAATTAATATAAATTAATAAATTGTCTAGAATAAATCACAATATAATTTTACCAGGCAGCTCCTCCATCACATAGGTGCCATTGAAAAACCCTAATCGATTTCTATGCGTTACACCAGCGCTGGTCGGGTAAGTCATGTCAGAGTCGGGCAATGCTGTCAACCAGGTGTCCAGTGAAGGGTAGGACAGTTGGCCGAACTCAGAGATAAACTTACCCCTCGGGTAAGGCTTTGAGTCCCACTGCGGGGACGAGTAGTCATAGTAATGGACGTCTCCATAGCGAAAGTCAATGGGATTTTTGGCCGTATAGTTCTCTATCGCATCCCTCAACCCGTTTGATGGACTGGAGGTCACGAATGGCCGACTGGTGTCGGCGCCGGTCACCAGTGTTTGCATGTTTTTCACAAACAACTCCCTGTAGTCAACCCGATGTCTATCGTTAAAATAACCTGATAACAACTGAAATATCCACTCGATCTCGTTGTTGCCTAGGTGATTTATTATAAAAATTAAGTCATCATTACTCATTTTTGTCAAGTAAAATTCTGTCAAAATCAATACCATTTGTACCTCGAATAAAATACTATTTTTAGGTAATAATTAATTATCAACTATTTATCCAGTTTATGTATAGCAAAGTACATGTAAAAGTTTACTTAAACTGCTAAATCCCAACATGCACAATATTAATTTACAATATATGTATTATAATAGATAAAATAATAAGCACTACATACCAGACCAGATAGCGATGGACGGGTGGTGTTGTAAACGTTGAATTTGTTGACTAACCTCTACATCGGCTGATAGTATGAACTCCGGGTTCACGGGATAGGCAGCGCAGGCATACATCATGTCCTGCCATATCATTATTCCCAACTCATCGGCCAAACCGTAAAACACGTCCGACTCATACACCCCTCCGCCCCACACACGCAACATATTCATGTTGGCCGCGCGCGCAGAGACCAACAAATCCCGGACATAAGCCTCGGTCAGATCCTCCTGGAGTACGTTAGCCTATATCCAATTGGACCCTTTGGCGAACACCGGCTGTCCGTTGACCTCGAAGTAAAAGGTGAGGCCATCGCCGGGGGTCGGGCTCTGCACCAGACGTATAGTCCGGAAACCGATTCGTTTGGTCTGAACCGACACTTCCTGACTGTCGGGGAATGAGAGCCGGACTTGAAGTGAGTATAACTGCTGTGTATTGTCGGCCACACCGTTGGGATACCACGCAGTGATGGGTATGTCCTCCGGGATTGTGATCACGAAATCGGCTTTGACTGCACCCAAGGGGTCGGCAGTCAGTCGTTGGCTGTGTTTAGCCACCAGTGGTTTGCCGTCAAGTGTTATGTCTATAATAGCATCCAATGATGTCTGAGATCCGGTCTCTATATATGCGCTAACGGCGAGTGTCCATCGATTTCGTGTTTTTGGATCTGGTTTCGTGTCTACCATAATGTCTCGTATGACTGCTTTGTCATACGACTCGACACCCAATGATTTCCATATGCCTTGTGTAGGGAATGCCGGGCCCTAAGAGTTGGGCAAAATAATTAACTGTTTAAAAATCTTTTAATTTATAATATACTACAAAATGGATTATTATATTCTTATCTAAAATTTAATCTGTTTAAATAATTGTTTATACTATTGTCCACTTGGCCAGTACCAATAATTAAATATGTTAATCAGTATTTTTACACAATATATACAACTAATTTATTGAGTTACAGTTTATATGCGAGAGAGAGAGAGAGAGAGAGAGAGAGAGAGAGAGAGATTGCATTACAAACCCAATCCCAACTATAAGAAGCGGCCATTTTTCGGATGAAATCATAATTGCACTCATTATTATCTGTTTTGGCACATGCTAAAATCATAATAAAAACATAAACAGTTATTAAATGATCATAATAATTTAATTAATAATTTACTTACGCATACTAACGTTGTACTTGTATTTCGTTTCGTATTCTTTAGATTTTTGCATTGAATACAACGGCGCCGACTGTATGGACACACGAACCCTGTTTTGGCCCACTTTTAGCACGTGTTTTACGTCCCACTTATACCGTATAAACTGATTGTCAGTACGGCCTATGAGCTGATCATTTACGGTAACTTCGCTGACAGTGTCGATACCGTTGGCTAACAAATACACATATTGTTTGCTCAATAGCTTCTCGTCGACTATAATATGAAATTTAGTTATTTTTATCTAATTCATTATTTGATTTATAATACCATTGAATGTTCGCTCAAAAGTCCAGTTGTCGTACGAAACCCACCGATACTTCACATCATTATCGCCGGATAGTAGGGACTCTTTAAGGACGCCCTCACGTCTCAGGTCTGAGTATATACTTCCCGGCACTCGGGCTTTCACCTGAATGGCTGTTATAAACATAAACATGGTTATCATTATCTATTAAACTGGGCAATATTTATATAAAATTTAAAGTGCTGTTACATTTATTTTGATTGATTGCCAACCAATCGGTGCCATCGAGTGTTAAAAAGTCGCCGTTTGTGATACTTTTTGTCCAAAAACATACAAACGTTATAAAAATAATTTGAAATTTATTTGACATTTTGCTAATAAATATCAATTATAAATATATAACTAATAATAAAAATAAATATTTTGCATTTATATATAAATGCACTATAGCCAATTGTACAATAAGAATTAGAACAATATTAATTCTTACTATCTATAAATTCAAGTGTTTTTGCTTATGCATAGATTAATTAGTCAATCATGCTGCAATAATCAATATACGTTAAGGTATTTATTTAGGTACTTTAGGTATTGTATTAAACCATATAATTCTTTAATACATATTTATTGGTAATAAATGCTGTAGACCTTGGTACAATTTCGACTCGTACATATTTTACTTAATGTACTAAATTTAGTTTTATCATGATTTTTAGATTAATTTAGTATTAATTAGTTTAAAAATTGAATTTAATAAAAATAACTTTTTGTTAAAAAATTTGTTTATAAATAAACCTAACATTCAAAATGTGAACAAAACTACAGCAGTACGTATAGCAGGGAGGGGGCATGTATTGTACTGTAAATGTATTTACAGGCTTACAAATTAGGGTCTTTCGATTACTTTGTTAATTAAAACACAATTCAGTGGATAGCAATTCCGATATTATTTATTTTAATACTTTTAATTTGGCCATGTTAATTCTAGGTAAAAGTAGATTAGATTATATTTCACAATACAAATTAAATATATGTAAAATTCTTACACTACAGTAAACTTTATAAATGTAGTAAATATGATAATTGATTGAAAGGGGAAGTATTTGTACCATGAAAATAAATAAGAAAGTAATACAAATAATCATTAAAATGTATTGAAACTAATAAAATGTTTGCTCCAAAGGGCAGACAAACAGATCTGTATTACTTCTCAAGCAATAAAAATCACGTATTTATACAAACAATATTTGAATTGAGAGTACTTTTGAGTTTAGTTTTGTATCTCATTTCGTGAGTTGCAGTCAAACTGATAACACTTTACGAACGAAAATAAAGTTTATTTAATGTTACTTTTGGGTTTAGTTTTGGGTTTCATTACTAGTCGTGTTTTAAGTTAAAATAACTTTATTAACTACAGTATAGTCCATACGATCAAATATTTTTCAATATTTAAATTATTATTAGTGTTGTTTTAAAATGTGTTCAAAATTAATGAGTGTTTCGTTGATTGAAATGAAGAGTAAATTCAATGCAATGAAGAGTTTGTGTGAAATAATAGACAAAATTCAGTGTATTTTGAATACAAATAATAGTGTTTTGTGTGAAGCGATTGAATGCGAAAATAATGATTATTTTTCAATCAATCAAACAATTGATTGCAATTCATGTAAAATCAGTGATAAAATGCNTAATAGTGTTTTGTGTGAAGCGATTGAATGCGAAAATAATGATTATTTTTCAATCAATCAAACAATTGATTGCAATTCATGTAAAATCAGTGATAAAATGCTAAATAATTATTATTCTAAAATAAAATTATTTAAATGTGATTTTAATAATTGTAATAAAGTTTATACATATAACACAAATTTAATTCGACACAAAAATAGTGTCCATAAAATGCTAAATAATTGTCATATAATTACTAAATCTGTTAATTATTTTCACTGTTTTTGGCCTAAATGTCAATACAAAACTAAAAATCGTGGTCACTTAACTAACCATCAATTAACTCATTCATCAATACAACAATTTAAATGTGATTTTAATAATTGTAATAAAATTTATAAACATGAAAGACATTTAGATTATCACAAAAATGTAGTTCATTTAAAACGTTATAAAAATATTCACTGCTTTTGGCCTAAATGTGAGTACAAGACGTCGAGTAAATATTTTTTTAAAACTCATTTATTAAAACATTCAGATATTAAACAATTTAAATGTGATTTTAAAAATTGTAATAAAAGTTACAAACAACTTGGACATTTAATTATTCACAAAAATTCACATTTAAATTTGACATTTAATTGTGATTTCAATGAATGCCACAAAAGTTTTACAACAAAACAACGTTTAATATCCCATAAAAAATTTGTTCATTTGAAAAAAAATAATGTTTTTCACTGTTTTTGGCCTAAATGTGATTACAATACTAATGTTAAACAAAGTCTAACTATACATCAATTACTTCATTCAGACATAAAGACATTTAAATGTGATTTTAGTAATTGTAATAAAAGTTTTCGATGGAAATTAAGTCTAACTCAACACAAAAATAATATTCATTTTAATAACGAATTTATTTGTGATTTCAATGAATGCCAAAAAGTGTTTAAATCAAAACGATATTTAATTCAACACAAACGTCGTGTCCATAATTCAAACAATAATAATTTTTTACACTGTCTTTGGCCTAAATGTCAATTCAAGACATTGAATAAATCACATTTAAAAATGCATCAATCGGTTCATTCAGATATTAAACAATTTAAATGTGATTTTAATAATTGTAATAAAAGTTATAAATATAAAGGTGATCTTCAATTACATAAAAATCAATTTCATTTAAATATGTGATTTACTGTATGAACTAGAATTATGTAAAATACCGTGAGTAAATTATAGATTTAATTACATTGTTATGTTTGAATGTTAATTAAAATAATAATTAAATATTAAAACAATTCTTAATAGTACTTTCTCATAAATAAAAGGCAAACAATTTCCTACTGTTATCGGAGCCCAAAAACTCGCACATAATTCAGCCTAATATCCAAGTGTTGGACGTGAAGGAGGTTAAGGGGGCCGAGGGTTCAGCCCCTGTGGGCCCGCATTCTCTGTCAAACAGCCGTACGTTTAGTATAAGCCTATCGTCCGAAACGATCGCACCGTTTGTTTCGCTAGACTTTCGGCCGAAGACTGGAATTAGCGGTCATTTCATGGAAAACGCATTCTTTATATTTGACGGCAAAAAGTGTTATATTTTGCATCAAATCTAATGTTATTTAATATTTTAATTTAAGTTTATTTTCTTATTAATTACTTAATTCTTTTATTAATAAAATTAGCAAGTTATTAATAATTGTAATTACATTTATTGTTTTAAAATAATTTTTTTTTTTAAATAATTGAAATACAATAGACATAAAACAAATCAATATTTTGAAAACGTTTAAAATTAATTGCACAAAATATTCAAATTTTATTAATTGATTTTAATGTTAAAATATACAAAAAAATGTAAAATTTACAATTTCTGATGTAATTAATAAAAGTATATTATAAAAATATTTACATAAATTAATATTAATGCAAATTCTTGTGAAATGACTTCATATGCTTTTTTAAAGCCGATTTCTTTGCATATCTTTGGCTACAGTTTTCAACACAACATTTGAAGGGCTTTTCAATCAAATGATGACTATTTACATGACATTGCAATTCAAATTTTGTTACATAACTCTTATCGCATGAATTATGATTACATTTAAATTTTCTGATATTGTTATGTCTTTTCTGGTGATCTCTTAATGTAGACAATTGTCTAAATTCTTGATTACAATCATTGATATGACAAACGTATGGCTTTTCTCCCGTATGAATGCGTTTGTGTTGTTTTAGATATTCGCCGGATTTGAAAGTTTTGCCACAATTTTTTGCGTTACATTTGAATTTCTTTTCATTCAAATGAACACAACTTTTGTGTCGAAATAAATGTGATTTTGAATCAAAACTTTTATGGCATTCATTGAAATCGCAAACAAATCTACTGTTATTTAAATGACTGACGCTTTGGTGTCGATTTAAATTTTGTATCGTTGAGTAAACTTTATTACAATCATTAAAATCACATTTAAATTGTTTGATATGTTTTTTTGAATGTAATATCAAATGTTGTTTTGAACTGAAATTTTTGCCACAATTTTCTTCATTGCATTTAAATCTGTCATTAATTAAATGAATACAACTTTTGTGTTGAAATAAATCCTCAATTCGTGTAAAACTTTTGTGGCATTCATTGAAATCACAAATAAATCTTACTTTTAAATGAGTCTTATTTTTATGTTTATTTAGATCTTTTATAGTTGAAAAACCTTTATTACAATTATTAAAATCACATTTAAATTGTTTATCTCTTGAATGAATTAATTGATGTCGAGTTAAACGATATTTAAACTTAGTTTTATAATCACAATCCGAGTCAAAACACTTATGATAACTATACAAATTTAAATGAACTTTATTTTTATGATCAATTAAATGCCCACTATGTTTGTAACTTTTATTACAATTATTAAAATCACATTTAAATTGTTTTATTGATGAATGAATTAATTCGTGTCGAATTAACCTACTTTTATATTTATCTTTGTATTTACATTTAGGATAAAAACAGTGAAAATAATCATCAGATTTAGTAATGATAT